CTGCCTGGCTCGCTGTCTGCGTACGTACGTGCAGCCAGATCAAACGACGAAGAGGAGATAGATCCACACGCTACTCGCTGGCTGGCTGGTTCACCGGGGCTAGCCCTCCGATGTCTACTACATGTCGGTTCTGTGGAAGCCGACAAGAATTATCGGCCTACAGATGGCCGACAATTCATAAAACACGTGTCCCCTGGTCACCTTAGTTTGCAGCGTGATGACATAGTCGAGGTTACTTCGGTGTGGCAGATCACAGAAATACACCGTTATACAATTATATATATATGAATATACATACATATCTAATAAAACTTGTAAAAAAATTTTTGGGTATTCCCGGGAATACCCATGAATACCATTAAATCTGCCCATGCATCCATCGTGCTACGTGTAGCGTCATGGGCTCAATTTTTCTCTCCCTTTTCAACTTTCTTATATTACAGAAGATGAAATAGTATTTGGATTGTTTTTTATTTTGGTAACCATACGTTGTAAGTATGTGGCTAGGTACCATTTCTATACTAGCATTACTATGTCTGTGCCAAAGGCGTTATAAAAATAGAATCTGGGATGTGTGAATAAAGAAAGCGTAGGAGAAACCCACATTTTCTTTGGAGACGGATGGAGACAGGTACACTACCCTAGCTAGTTAGAGTAGTTTTTCTCTTCAGACATGTTAGGGCTGGCTCACAACAGGGAAAGGGCCTTGTGCTTCGGCCCAAGTAATTCTATGCCGTGTGCAGCAGCCCTGTCTGGCAGGGAAGGTACTTTGAACCACGCGCGCGCTATGCGGGCTGGGCCTGGACTTCCAAAGCTAAAACTACCACAATTTGCCTCTACTCGGTCGGCCTGCTCGTTATCCGCCTCGTCGCGCCCTCGCGCTGTACATTCTGCTTGGCCCAACCACGACGCCCCGTGTCAGCTGTCAGGTACTGTACTCAGACTGGCAGATTAGTAGCTACGTGTAATTGTTTTTTCTTAAGTAAACGGTTTACGTATCATTATATTAAGATCGAGCAGTAAAGTTTTTACATCGATGCGCCACTAGTCGGGCGCACCAAGCGGGCTTAGGTCTTACAATGAGCTCATCCCCACCTAGCGAACTAAGTACATTGCGAATACTCACGCAATAGATAACCTAACTTAGCTGTGCCAGCGTCGATCCATTGGTCTGCGACGTGTTTGATGTGTGCGAGGAGTTGCGGTACAGTCGCAAAAAAAGAGGTGTTGTGGAAGCATCTTCATCCGTTCCTCCCTTTCCATAACTCCTACACTACAAGTGCGATTAATTTATTGGTTTAAAATTATAGTCGCCTCTCGCTTGTCTTCCTTTTCCCATTGTGCAATTTCTACCGAAACCAAATCAAGGTACTCTTTTTGATTTTTTACAAGAGTCATGTAGGAATTTCATAGAAATCAATTTAATTTTACATGAAGAACATATGATTCAGAAATTTTCCTTGCATTTCAAAGGAGGCCCGAGACTGTAAGGTGTAGAGCATGGCGGGAAAAGGACTAAAGGAGTGACATTAGCACCGAAGTATTTTGAAGATTTTGTTATGGACATGTAGAAACATTGGTGTCCGGTTTGGCTAACTCCTGTATATGCGTCATGTGTGTAATCCTTTCGTAGATGTTCTCGATGGTTTCCTTATTTCTTATTACCGTATACAAGTCACTTTGTAACAACAATTGAATTCTGTATTATTATTATTGAGTAATACACTAAAATTTTATTCAGGTTCTTTTTCCCAACATATGGAGATCAAATACTTGTTTTTTATTTAAAATTTCAGTTTAGACATTTACTAATTATGATTATATAGACCATTTATTTTGGTATTTTTCCTTCCTAATTTGTTTCAAGATCAAACTATTGTTTTTATAGTTTTATTCAAATTGCCATTACTAATTGTATTTTATATGGACCCGTTATTTAGTCGTTTTTCCTTGTATATATGGAAATCAAATTGCTATTTTTTTCTTAATTTATTATTGCTGATTTTCTATCTATTTGTTGCATTAGGTATGTACTCTATGGTTTATCCTAAACCATTAGATCATCGTAAAATCTAATGGTATATATTATTTTTTGATTAATGTGAAAAACTATAAACCGGCTGATGTCTTATTTTTAACATTATTGTAATAAGATATAGATAGATACCCTAGATAGATAGATAGATGTACAGAAGATATATACTTTGCTGTTGCTAGTACCGTAAACGTTTATCAAAATTCATCGCAGAAGAGGAAGAAGCTACTTTAGCTTGTTTGGTACAATCCCAATCCGCTGAGTCGTGCGGAGTAAACAGAGTAACATTTTAAGAACTGCTGCATCGAATTGTACACCGTGCTAAACACCCCCACTGCCATTAAAAAAAAGGTGCTCTACGTACAATATTTTTATATATTATAAGAAACAAAAGGAATGGCCTCTTCCCTGACCTTTTCTGAGATTCAGAATAGTGCGCGTAGTAACACTAGAACTGGGCTAATTAAGCTATATAAACAACGGGAACATCTTAGCAGTCGTGAGCTACCCCGTTGGCCTTTTTGGTGTCGCTGTTGTCCTTGGTCGCCACCAGCGGCTCCGTCTCCTTGTCAGGCATCTGCAGTAACCACGAACATGATCAGACCGGCCCATGAATGGCTCAACTCTGATCTACCAAACCTGACCAGTCCACCTCCAGCAGTGCGTACCTGTGACACCGGGAGGGCGTCGCCTGCGGTCTTCTTCTTGCCCTCGCGCACCGAGAAGACGGAGTAGAGCGCCATCCCGAAGATGGCAACGAGGATGCCCAGGATGTTGCGCGCGTTGAAGGGGTCGTGCAGCAGCGTGTAGCCGAACGACAGGACCAGGCACGTCTTGAGGTGGCCCAGCACCTGGTACGTTACCGGCGACGTCGTCCCGATCACCAGGAACGTGCTGAAGTTCACCGACACCGCGATCAGGCATGACAGGATGATGAAGCCCTGCAACACAGCTCATGCAATGCACCTTGTGACGATTCGGCGTGTTGTCACTTGTCACCCACCCAAAGCTGAGCTATACTTGGTATGGTAGTGATCTTTTTTCTGAAACTGGCAAGAATGTGTCTGTACTGCAGCCGTTGCACAGAATGTGTGACGGAGCTTACCACAACTGGGAAAGTGTATTTGTGGGCGAAGACGCTGCGGCCGGTGAGGAGGTGATCCACGAAGGGGCCAGTGGAGAACAGAATGGCTGCCTGGTAAGGCGCCGATTGGTACAGAAGCTGCGTTGATGAGACTTTCAGCTTCCTCTGTATCGTATTTGTGAGCTTCACTCAACAGGTTAAGGATACACCATAACAAGCAGTCATAGGTTATGTTGAGAATTAGTGCACATGGCGATGACAGACATGCAGAATGTGCACCCTGAATGATGAACAGAAAATTTTCTCTTTTTTTTTTTTGAAACTCTGAACAGAAAATTTTCAAATGTAGGATACAATTTGGCCAACACAAGTCGTGGCGATGGCGAGGCCAGAAAGAACAGATCCGAGGCAATTTAACTTGAGGTCTGTTACTGAAGCGATGCCGACTCCAAGTAGCAAGACCAGCAGAGAAAACTTGATTGTCTCACTGCATATTGCAAGTCATATTTATTATCATAACGATAAATGGAAGGAAGGCCTAGTTTCCTGAAACAAAATGATATTGTCTGGGACCAGTAAAAAATAAACGAAGTTAAGCATACTTTTAGTTTATCCACTATTCTAGCTTGGCTAGACATTTCTATCTCATCTGATCTGTGGGTTTTTATTTTGGTAGAATAGTTTTAGAAAAAAAATTCTAATCACCGTGATGCAAAAAAAAGGTGGCATGAAACCTTTACTGTACAGTGTAGAATGTTTTATTGCCCAGTGCCAAATTTTATCATTGTTTTCGTCTGAACAGAGTACAAACAGAACATCTAGTAGATAGGCAGCAGAACTTATGATTTTTCTAACCAACCTGAATCTTTTCTTGAGGAATATAGTCTCCAATAGCACTGTGAAGGGTATTATGGCCAATTTTGTCATCTGCAGAACATACTGAATTTGAGCATGTGCTGCCTTCATTTTTAATCAAGGAAAAAAAACCGAATGAGAAGAGGACTGACCTGGTAGAATCCAATGGAATTGAATCCTAAGCTAAGGTTCAGAAGGCCAATCGAGGTTCCATTCAGCAACCCAAACAAAACTACCGTCTGTCCATCAATCGCCTTGGGCTCGAAAAAGCGCAAACGCTGCGCGACGTGAAGGGTGCAGAAGGTCACCATCAGGTGCCAGCTTGTCAAAGTTGTAGCTGCATTGATCATAAACACATATGATTTTCCGGCAAGTACTCAACTGAACGAATGTAACTCTGCAGTGTGCGCTGTGGTTCACTGAATAGGCTGAAAGCCCTTGATTTGTTCACTTACCAAATGGAAAGCCTAGAGTGCTGATGAGGGCTTTGTTGCAGATGACAATGGCAACTGATGAAGCGACGGAGAGCGTAAGAGACCCAATCACACCGAGCTGGAAACCGGCAGTCATCTTGGCCAGCTGCTGTGTATGCTGCCCTTCGGCTACGCACTTCTGAATCTGCTACCTGATATACGCACCGAAAGGTATCAGTATTCAGTATTCAGTGCAAGGAACCGACTAATAAAGAATATAAATTATGCGGAACGTGTACTATGGTCAACTTGTAAATGCTACGCACAGTCGTAACTTGTGGATTCAATCTAGGTGATTTCCGGTGCACGGCGGAGTACACTGAAAACCTGAAACTGGGGCAGAGGACAAAAACGAGCTCCTACTCCCACTGGGATGCTTGAATCAGCCGGCCTTATCCTTATGGATCAGGTCAATAACAGTGTTCCAGTTCCAGGGCCAGGGATTCCAGGAATAAAAAAGGGTGGCGTTGAACAGGTAAGACAAAGATGTCGTCGGCCGTGACATCCCAAACAAGCTACTGCCAAATGGCTAGGCCAGCCGCTAGCGCGGACCATGGCCCAATGTCCGAATGATTCCACTCCAACGCTGCCGTGGGATGCTTCCACGACTCGACTCCCCCAGATGGCCAGATCGTCCTGTCCTCGAATCACGCTGACGAAGCTCATGAGTGAGCAGATAATATGCCTGCAGCTGCAAGCAAGTTCATGAGTCATGACAGCGACTCACTCCCCGGATCGGTTTTGTCGTGCAACCGATCTCCTGATACTTCCTGACCTGAGTTTCACTACACGCTTGCAGAGCTGCAGTCGACGAGACCGTGCTCGCATGGAGTTGGAGACGAAGCAGCGCAGAGACATGCGTGCGACGAGCGTGCCGAGTCCAACTCCAAATGGTGGTGTCCAGCTAAAAGTACAGCAGGACAAGGGCCTCCTAGCTGGACGAATGACTCCGACGTTTTGACAGATCGACTTGGTCCAGCGAGCTTTGTACGAGCGTGGGCAAGTGTTTCTACGAGAATACGACTTGGAAACCATGGCATTGGCATCCAAGCGCACAACTGCACATCTCTACTTTGAATAAGTATCATCGTACGGCGCTGTTACACGATGGATGGATATGAGCAGCATGAAACAAAGTAGCACGCGAGGGCCGAGGACGTACAGGTACAGATGGGTGGTTCGCTCTGCTGGCCCGAGGTGGTACAATGATCGAATGGGATCCTAGTTGTTACGAAATGATTGATCACGTTTGCACGGATATATACTAGTATTTAAATAAAATAATGGCTAAATACTGAATGGAGTTTTTGGTTTAAATTCACATAGCGTAAACAGATTGTTTGAGCATGATAGCGTAAACAGATGAACAGAGAGAGGGGAGGAAAAAAAAGTTAGAGCAGCGTTCCTCCGGAATTCATCAAACAAGTTATTAGAGCAGTGTAGATGAATTCAATCTCTGGTGCCCCCCTTGAGTTTAGTATCTAACTAGTAGGGAGTACTCTATTCAATCGATTGGCCTACTTATCTCGCTCGGAGATTGTTGTAGTAAGCACAGGAAACCATGAGATGAGAATGTTCAGAACTCAAGAACAAGCTGATCGAGACACAGGAATTCTTAAAGGAAACAAGTAAGAGTAGTGCTCACTTCAAATTGAGATCTTTTAAATCAACGAGTCCCGGCCTCTCCTTTGCAGCGGTCCTCCTGCTAGTAGCTCCTCATACACGCGTATGTGCGCGCGAGAAGGGAGGAGCGTTGGTGTGGTGTGGCCTCTAATGGCGCTGGTTCGGTGCCGCAGCGCCTCGGGGGAGAGGAAGAAGAGACGCAGAGGCATTTTTATGTCCGGCACCTGTGGGCAGGGGCCCGGGGGAGGGAGGGGAGGTGTTGGTGGGCAGTCTGCTCCGTGCTTTGACGCCGGTGCCTGACCCTGACGCTCGCTCGCTTCCTGCTGTTGCTGGGCTGCTGCTAGCTAGACAGAAATCTGCGAGCGTTAGAGGAAGGCAACAGCTCCCTCCCGGTCCCGGCCCCGGCCCCGGCCCCGGACATGGTCGCCTGATCGCGAGTCCACGTCACCGACATGGAAAGAGATGGTAACCGAACCAGGTATAAGTAAAAATTCTCAAGACTGGTGTTGCCGGTGTATGCTATTGCTGCCTGAGTCAACATCACCGATCGATAGAGGCTTGTTCCTGACCTGTAGCATGTAATTTATTAATTTCAATGCTTATAAACGCATCTAATCTAAAAACTAATAACGATGCATCGATGCCGAACTCTGTGGATCTGTAGTCTACACTGAAGATCTAGTTGCACATAGTTTACAGCAAACATACCGATAGTGACAAAACATGGATACCGGCCCAATGCTCGGCTGGAGCATGCATTCTGCCAACGTCCAAAGGGATCTTTCACGCAATCCCCTCGTAATTCCCGAGCCAGAGAAAGATCTTCGCTGAGGTCCATTATTGTCCAGTGTAGCACTTTGCAACTAATTTGTGTACTACTAGTAGTACTTAATCAATTGCCTTGCTATTACGACTAAGTAAGCGTTCGGTGTCGCCACCAGTCACCCTACAATATTCCAGCTTTAATAAAAGTCCATGTGAAGAAGACGTTTGATCTTCATTGACGCGGCAACAGAACTTTGTAGTACACACACTAATCAATGTCTTTCAAGTGTTTAATCATATTTCATATAGCGTGAACAATGAATGGATAAAAAACTTGTCCTTAAAAAGATGACCAATTAACTCTGATGATGATGATTAATTGACTATATATAGATAGTAACAAAAAAGCCTGAGTTTTGTTTTCTCAATTCGGATATTCTCTTAGGCTACCTTCCGGCAGTAGGTAAGATGAAAATTACAGGCCATTTGTCTTTTTCTTTTCTTTTTTTTTTTTACTTTGAAAACAGGTGAAATGCAGCAAGCTGTTGCAGTGTACGTATCAGAAGAGAATCGCCTACAGATGCACCTCTGTATTTGTTAAGAACATACATTATGTTTGCTACCTCAGATATCTTGGACTGACAAAACTGATGACCAATGCAAATTCGGCTGTAGTGGATTCAGGCACTGCTGAAAGCATGAAACCATGCATAGACCCCCTGCACCGACTAAAATACAACTAACCAGCTCAAGTGCGGCATTGATCTCCAAAGCAGATTCTTCGACCTAACAAAGGCACTAATCGAATAGAATTAAGCCAAATGGGGAGCATCACATCAATGCTGCTAGCATTCACCAATCCAATAATTGGAAGGAAGCAGGAAAACAACAGACCTTCCTCTTGTCACTTGGGGCGCAAGGTTGGATGGAGTCAGGTGGTTGCAGCAGTAAAGCAAGCGTCGGCCGGCCTTCCCGTGAATGCAAGCAAAGGCAACAACCCATGCGCAGCCGTGGAGCGGAGAGGAGCAGCTCCATTATTCTGGTGGCCGTTGGGTGAGACCTCACACCAGTCAGTTCAGTTCAGACAGTCGTGCCTCTGAATCTCTGGCCTGGCCCCGGATGGCCGGATGGAGGGGAAAAGAGGGCCGCTTATCATAGCCGGCCGGCCGGGTGCTGAATCAAATCAGGACTTCAAATCACGAGTTCAGTATGGCGAATTATCGCTCCCATGATATTCTATTTGACGAAACATGCGTGGAATAATTGCATCCCAAATCTCAGTGAGGAAAAGATGCAAATGCTACTAGTGGTGAGTAGTTAGGATGATGGTGTTTGTTACTACTGTCTTCCAGGGTTAGGTGAAGAATGGCAAGGATTGGTAGATTAGTGCTCCAACCTGCACCACCACCTTGTCGGTGGCACACGTGTTGTGTACAAACTGTTTCACAGAAAACTTGTGCAGATGCAAATATTTCGCAGCCAAACACTCGATGTGGATCGTTTCAGTTCTCCTTGGTTTCAGAAAGAAAGAGTTTCGGACCTTCAGGTTTCAGCTCGCCGCCGGAGCTGTCCGGAATCCGGATCGAAGCGGAAGCGGTAGTGGGCTAGTGGCCGCGGCCTTTTTAGATTGGGCCCACGAAGTAGACCAGGATGATTTTTTTATTTTTAACACATTTTTTAAACTAATTTTAAAACTAACACTGTTCTTTTTCCTTCAAATCTAACACTTTTGGCCGCGCCTATTCGCACAGCGCGGCAAATTAATGTTGTTGCTCCATGCATGGGGGCGCGGCGAGGCTGCCTACGTGGCAGCGGCCAGGGCCCCTGACCGGTGACGTGGCCAGCTCTGCCGCGCCACCGATCAGGGTGCAGCGGTGATGCGCCACTCGCCAGGGCGCGGCAGAGCCTAATATAGGCCCGCGGCCCAATCCCGCCGCGTCACGCCACCGCCTTGCCCGCCACACCGTCGCTTACCTCTGCCGTGCCGTGCGTGCGTGCTTGCGCGCCGCCGCCTGGCCGCGCCGCGCGCCACGCACGCGCCCCCGCGCCCGCCCGACGCATGCCCCGCCCGCGCACCACCTCGAACGCGCCACGCCGCCGACCCGCCGCCGCCGCCTTTTTGGCCACACACGATGGCTGCCCGCCGCCGCGCCACTCGCTTTACCGCCATCACGCGCCATCGCCGCGCGCGCCGTTGACACCGCTCCCAACTGTCGCATGCCCCTCTCTCTATCCCGTGTCCACCCGCCGCCGCCGCCGAGGCCAGCGCCCGCGCCTCCCGGCCTAGTCTAGCGCGTCGCCGCCGCGAGGTCGAGCGCACGTTGCTGCCGCGAGGACGAGCGCCGCTGCCACGAGGTACTCCCCTAATGTATTTGTTGATTGAATCGACATTGTTATTATAGTAAGTTAGTACAATAAGTTAGTATATTTAGTAAAATATAGTTAGTATAGTTAGTTAGTTTAGTTAGTATAGGCAAATATAGTAAGTTAGTATAGTTAGTAAAGTTAGTTAGTTTAGTTAGTACAGTTAGTGAGTCTAGTTATACATTGTATTTAGTATAATTAGTTGTTGTAGTTAGTCTGGTATATATGTTAATATTAGATTAGTGAGTATAGTTATAGTTAGAATATGTATTAATATTACTATGGACAGTACGTACGACGATTTCGACGATTTGATGAAGTTTCTTGAAATACTTTTGTAAATGGATTGTTGTGCTAGAGTTTTTTACGGAGGAAGTGTTAGGAGAGAAGATGGTATGTTTGAGGATATGGAAGAAGAATTAGAATGGTTTGATGAACCTCCTAGCTTCAACGACCTTTGTGTCCGTTTGAATGCAAAGTTTGGCGGTGATTTGACACTGAAGGTGAGGTTTGATACTGGAAAGACTAGGGCACACTATGTCCTGATGCCCTTGCGCGACCCTGCTCACTGGTCCCGCTACACTAGGGTGCTTCAAGGTTCCAATGTGCCCATGGTTGAGATGGTGGTGAAGAATGGGTACAGGATGTAGGGTGTCCTGAACGGGCCGTCCATTGACGGTGTTGGAGGCAATAAGCAAGAATTGGGGGTCGAAGGGGAAGCAACTTAGGGTAACATAGATTTGGACGGTTAGTTGACGCAGGAGCTATTTCATTCAAGTCAAGTAGGCTGTATAAGCAATGCCTTCGATGTGAACGAGTTCGAACTAGAAGAGGTGGAGCAGGAGGAGGAGGACATGATCGGTGATGTAGTTCGCAGTGATTCGGACGATTCAGATGATGACCAGGGAGATAGACATGCTATGCCCACACCGGTTGATGCCATGCCAGTACCTGTTCATGGTATGCCATTAGCAGTACCAACTGAGGTTTTGCATGCTATCCAGACTCAGGGTAGACTAGTCACAGATTTGTCAGCAGATGATACCTCCTATGATTCATGGGACAGAATTAGCGAAGCGCAGCAGTATGTTCCACAACCACCTTATACAGCGACTGAGCTTGAGCAACTAAGGTCGATGAACGTACCTTTGAGGGGCACTATAGGGATGTCAACATGACGGATATGGCAGTTTGTGACACCGGTCTCCAGATGTGTAGGAAATCATTGTATGACAATGAGAAAGAAATCCTTAGGAAGGGGATGATATTCAATACAATGTCAGAGATGAAGCTCTTCCTTCAGGACTATGCTGTGTATCACCATA